AGCGAACCACCAGACTACTGCGGTGGTATTTGGCGCTGAAGGAGTTACCGGGAGCGTATGAGGTGTTATACCATTCTCCAGGGTTTCGGCTGGCGAAGGTGCAACTCCTCCTTCAATCCTCTGGGGAAAAAGCATGAGAAAATTCATTCATTCATTCATTCATTTTCCGATCTGTTTTATCCTCACAAGGATCGCGGGGGGTGCTGGAGCCAATCCCAGCTGTCCAAGGGCAGGAGGCGGGGGACACCCTGGACCAGTAACCAGCCAATCGCAGGGCACACAGAGACGAACCACCTTCCGCGCTCACACTCACACCTAGGGACAATTTTGAGTGTTCAATCAGTCTGCTATGCATGTTTTTGGAATGCTGGAGGAAACCGGAGTACCCGGACAAAACCCACGCAGGCCCGGGGAGAACATGCAAAGTCCACACAGGAAAGCCGGAGCTGGAATTGAACCCGGTACCTCTGCACTGTGAGGTCGACGCGCTAACCACTGGATCACCGGGCCGCCCGCATGAGAAAATGCATATTAAAAAAAAACAAACTGCACAAGCAGCTGAAAAGCAAGCTTCTTGCTAATGCTAACACATGCAGCAAGCACTTCATCAATCATCACCATGAAGAACTCTCAAAGGAAAAGCAACCCCAAACCATGACTAAATGTGCAATATTTTATTCAGTCGTTTACTCTTGAGTTAGCGTACCAGACAGCAAATCCGTCTTTTGACTGTTTGTTGGCATGACAATGTATGACAAATACATGATGAATATGCTTATTTGTAATTTGTTCTTCTTTAACTTATTTTACAAGACACGGAAATCTCCGTTTTTGTTACACGATGACCATGAAGTCATTGAATGTAATCTCACGTAGCTTGGTTTTTCTTTGTGTATTTGTGTGTGTGTGTGTGTGTGTGTAACAAGTGTCCACCTGTTACACGCACATGTACATGCACATTTAGCCTAACGGCCTGCACATGTGTCTGAGTGTGTGTGTGTGTGTGTGTGTGAAACAAGTGTCCCCCTGTCACACACACATATACATGCACATTTAGCCTCACGGCCCGCACGTGTGTGTGTGTGTGTGTGTGTGAAACAAGTGTCCCCCTGTCACACACACATATACATGCACATTTAGCCTCACGGCCCGCACGTGTGTGTGTGTGTGTGTGTGTGAAACAAGTGTCCCCCTGTCACACACACATATACATGCACATTTAGCCTCACGGCCCGCACGTGTGTGTGTGTGTGTGTGTGTGAAACAAGTGTCCCCCTGTCACACACACATATACATGCACATTTAGCCTCACGGCCCGCACGTGTGTGTGTGTGTGTGTGTGTGAAACAAGTGTCCCCCTGTCACACACACATATACATGCACATTTAGCCTCACGGCCCGCACGTGTGTGTGTGTGTGTGTGTGTGAAACAAGTGTCCCCCTGTCACACACACATATACATGCACATTTAGCCTCACGGCCCGCACGTGTGTGTGTGTGTGTGTGTGTGAAACAAGTGTCCCCCTGTCACACACACATATACATGCACATTTAGCCTCACGGCCCGCACGTGTGTGTGTGTGTGTGTGTGTGTAACAAGTGTCCACCTGTTACACACACATGTACATGCACATTTAGCCTAACGGCCTGCACATGTGTCTGAGTGTGTGTGTGTGTGTGTTTAGACACCAGCGCAGAGGATATTCGCCGTCCCAAACAGGAAGGGCGGCATTTGGACTCCCCAACGCACTCTTCCTGTGTGCTCGCACGCACGCACACGCAATATTTCGGAAGACTGGCTGCGCTGCCGTCAAATGAAAGATGCACACTTGATTGTGCATTTGTGGGGTTGCTAGGATCCGTCATGGCCAAGATGGAGGAGTGCCACGACACACAAGGTTGCACAATGTGTGTGTGTGCGTGTGTGTGTGTGTGTGTGTGTGTGTGTGTGTGTGTGTGTGGCACGTGTGAAGTCTGTGAACGAGAGCGTGCGCGCGCCCGTGCGTATGGCGAGATTGTTACGCAGACAGATGACATTTTAGCTCAGCGATGAGTCACAGGGATATCGCCGCACACAGGTTAATGCACAGCGATTGTTCTTTCTCTCCTGTCTGTCTTTTCTCGCCCTGACTGCTTTCTCCCATCCCCCTCTCTTCTCCTCTCTCATGTCTCTCGCTCGCTCCCTCCCTCTCTGTCGGTCCATTATTCACTAATTTTCTTTCATTCTCTGCCCCCCCCCGCCCTG